GTAGGGAACAAGTGACATTTGCTGTGTCTTCCCCTTCTGTCACTGCCTTGATATTTCACCTGCTGCTTGGCTGCAGGCAGCGCTTTGTGTAAATCACACAGAATGATAACAGATTTCATGGGATGTTCAGAGTAAAAATGGCAAATTTCATAGTCAGCCACAAATTCACAAAAAAGAATATAAACACACACACACAAAAAAATCAATTACAGTGCCGAGAAAGACTCTCAGATGTTTAAAGATGTTTTTCTAATGAATAAAGACGAGTATCAGGCCTGGAACAGAAATTCTAATTTATAACGAGGAGGGAAGCAAGCATGAAATACGTTTTGCACTCGAATATATGGGTGCAGCTTTGCCAGGGCAGACAGGGAATGTCAGCGGGGCTGGGGACAGTGATGTGCACACGACGGCACGCTGCTGAGCTCAGCTCACTCCCTCCGAGGAGGAAAAGCTGGGTATGGCTCCCCCTGCTCTTTTCCCTTGACAGTCCATCTTTGCCTTCTTAGGAATACTCATGTTGGAGCAATCTAGAAAAGCTATAGCTTGCCATTGCAATATAATTTAAAAAAAAAAAAAGTAAAAAAAAGAAAAAAGAAAGGAAAAAAATGGATGGAGAAATCCATCCTCTCACAAATATCCTTGTAACCACAGAGGGAGAAGGCAGATAGTCTTTGGACTATGTAGTTTGCTCCCTATATGTATCTTTTGTATCTTGGCTGAAATTACAGCTGAGCTCTGTGGGGCAGAAAGCACAGCTAGATGTGCATGGGCATGAAACCGCAGGGCTCCAGATGTGACTGAGGTTGCTGGGTGCTGCTGCCATCTATATCTATAACACACTCCAAAAGACCACATCAAAGGAACACCAGGCTTGCAAAGTTCAGATCCTGAAAAATTCGAAAATTAATATTGCCTGTGCAAAATTAATTCAGCTGTCTTACCTATGTGCACTGTGCTGCAATCTTTGACTGCATGATCACATACTATCTTTTCTGTAAATCCCCTGCTTTGTTCAATACACAGGACAGACAGTGCTTAATCAAAGAGCAGCTATTCCACATTTTGTTTTCTTTGCATTATGCAGCCTGAGGACTTGTTTATTGCTTACTATTCAAATCCAGCTCTGAAGACAAAATTAATAATTTCCTCGTGGGCTTTTCTGTGGTGCTGATCACTATAATATTACAAGTGCTTCACAAACAGTAACAATCTTATCTTCCAAACACCCATATGAGGTGAGATGAAAGCAATTATCCTAATTTTACAGATGGAGAACAGAGGCAGGAACATTAATGTATAAAATGTCCACTAATTTTGAATGTCAAATTGAAAAGACATCAACTTGTTTTGTTCTTAAAGAAAAATTAGATTTTTATTTTTTTTTTTATTATCAGTGACTGTATGCAGCAGAGCTCCTACTGACTTTCTCTGCATCTGGGCTTAGGCTTTGCAACTGAGGCTCCAGGATCTCAGACTGAGCACTTCAGAACATACAAGACAGCAGCTGCTAATGAAAACTTTTTTTTAAATCATTTGCCCAGGGCTGGGTGAAATACAGATGGGTGAAGTCAGTTCTCTTGATAACTTTCAACCACCGAAAGCTCAAAAACAAACCATCCTTTCTCATCTTATTCTTCTATTTCTCATGAAATATTTCAACTTCTGCAATTAAATGATGCAGGAGAACTACAGGTGATTGTTCTCCATCACACAATTGTACCTTATGTGCAGAACAGATCCACAGATACATGCTGTGAGCTTGGACCCCATGGAGAAGACTGTGCAATCATCTAATTAAAGATTAATGATAAGCAAGGGCTTCTAACACTTGGTAATTTCTGAGGACTTCAAAGTTGCAACTTTGCTCTGTTAATTGACCCTTCTGTCTGTGATTTCTTGGAATTTTTCCTTATTACTTTGGGTGGTGGTGGTGTGTGTGTGGAGAAGAACGAGTCCACAAACCCCTTGTGTGGGACCTTCCTGACACCTACACACATACCATGCTACTGGTGTTGGAGGACTCCTGCACAGAATAAACTGCCATGTGGAATGATTGGACTGGTGAAAGCTGAAAGCCTTTAAAAAGCATGTGTGAAAGGAGCTTTGCAGGTTTTGTTAGATACTACAGTGAACACTGTCCAAACTGCAGCCTTGGGGTCCCACTCAGAGAGGAAAAAGTCTCTTGACAGAGAAGCTTCATAAACTGAAAAAAATACATCTCCTTCCTAGCTTGGTTGCTTCAGCTGAAAAAGGCTGCAAGAGTGTACAGCCCAAGACAGGGCCCATCCTAGTCAAGGCTCCGAGACACTCATGTGTGGTCTCCTAATGGGACACATTCTGGGAGGTGGCTCCTCCCTCGCTTGACTCCAGCCTCCTTCCTACATGCTGTCACCAGCCAAGACAGACTGAGTGGGCACTGTGTGTTCCACAGACCCCCACCTCTGACACGAAGCCCACTGGTATGTTGCTGCGCCCATGCTGCTGCCTGGGCAAAGCTTGCTGGGCAACCTGGGAGCCATTTCCTTCAGAGCAGCTCCTACAGACTCCTACCTGGTCCAGCTCCATCTCATCAGGTGTCCGCCAACGAGCAGTTGGGTTGCTGGTGCTCTGATCTGCTGGCACAACCACAATGTAGTACCACCTGGGAAGAAAGGAAAGCATAAGCACTGGATCCTAAGTCATCTCTCTGGCAGGACACCGAATGACATATGCCATATGCCTCCCAGGGACAACCTGCTCCTTTCCCTGCCCCCTGAGCAGCAAAAAGGTTCAGTAAGGAAGAGGCTGGTTTTTCAGTAGCACCAGAGATGAGAATACTCCCGTTAGCACTCATTAGTTTAATGACGATCTACAGACTGTGCTCCAGAGGGTGGTGTAGGAGCTGTGAGAAGGACATTTATATAATCGGATTGTATCAAGAACCCTGGGGGAATTGTGCTTCAGCACAAGGATACCACAGTAACGAATAACACTTCCTCAAACTTGCTTTTTTAATCTCCTTGAGGCTTTAGGCATTATTTATTTAAAGGATATTATACAGTGTCAGAGAAAGTCCCTCCTGATCCTCAGCTGTGTTTTTGCTGGTAGCATCTGGAGTATACCCACCACGGTGAGGGCAAACTGTCAGAGAATTGTCTTAATTTTATTGCGCATAAATATTTGCTCAGAAAGAGCCAGCAGCGTGATCCCATGTTATGAGTAAATGCCTGGCTCTGTACTGCAGCCTGCTCGGAAACTCACTCCCAGGTTACAAAATCCAGTTTGGCAGAGGTCCACTCTGCCTTTTTCCCCAGCTGTAGCCCACCTCCCTGCCTCCTCCACCCAGGCACGGCACCTACCTAACCGGCACAGTGGTCTGGACTTTGGGAAGGGTGAGCGTGAATTTTCCTTCCTGTATGTACTTGTTTGTGGCGATGGGCTTGCTCTGCAAGACGTCAGGGGCGGTGCGGATTGAGACGAGGTGCTGGAGTCCCCCAGCACTGCTCCCACGGTTCATTAGCACAAAAGAATAGTCTGTGTCTGGCTGGAGGTCACTTATGAGTTTCTTCATTGAGTGGCCGTCCACCTCCACACTCTGGCTATTGTACAGAATCTGAAACGGCAAAAGGACACACTTAGCCGACAGCTGCTGATGAACTCACACTCAAAATAGCAGCGTTAGAGACGACAATTTGGCTCTGGGCCCTCCCTCAGGTGGTTCAGCTACTGTGTGCTTCTGTAAACAGCCATAAATCTTTAGTTAAAGAGCAGCAACCAACCCCAGCAGAAGGCTGAGCTATGCTCCCTGTGCCTCACAGCGCTGGAGCAGAGAAGGGGTCACCCCAGCAAAGCCTGGGTGGCTGGTGCCAGCGGTGAGGCTGGTGGTGCCACACGCGCTGCTTTCCGGCTCCGGTTTGGGGAAGGAATCCAGATGGCCGTGTTTTGCCCTCACGTGGAGATAAATGGGTCTTTGTTTTGTGTCTCATGAGGCTACAACACACAATATGCTTTTGGTGTAAAATCCCATCTGCTTTAAATTGGTGTCACTCCCGTGTCTACCAGGTGATGAGCGAACGGCTAACGCAGAGCAGCCCCCTCCCAGCAAGGTGGGGGGTGGGTGTGTTACACGCCTCACCAATGACCTGACAAATCCGGCACAGGGCTCACTAATTGGTACCCGAAACAGGGCTCTGCAGGTGTGACACCCTGTTGCCATGACAACAGATGCTGGTGCTGTGGCAGAAGACTGGCGCTGCTTTTCCCTGCCGTGCTTGCAGAGAGGGGCTGCTGGGCAGGACAGGGCAGGGCAGAGCTGCTGGTGCCCTCTGCTGCCCCCGGCTTCTCCAATTGAGCCCAATGGCCCCTCAGCTAACGACATCTTCTCAGCGCTCTGTTGCAGATCTGCAGGACTCCCTCTCCCCAGGGCACAGCAGCCACAGGCACTGCTGTATCAGCTGCACCAAACAGCCCATCCGCCCTGCAAACCTTGAGCCTAACCCTGCTGGAACAGCTCCAGTACCCCAAAACCCTGAGTGCTGCCTCTGCAAAGCCAGAAACTCAAACAGTTCCCAGAGACAAATGGGGTGAGGAGAACCAGAGAGAGCAGAGGTTGTGCCCCAGATGTGATAAACCAGCATGTTTCCTTCCACTGGGAAACCGTCTAACATGGCAAGAGAGTGCTGGATTCCTGACAGTGGGGAGCAGAGACGTAGCATGCCAAAAACTGGCCAGGTTAGAGCTGGAACATGTTGAACCACGGCAGCTATGACATGTTCCAAGCAGAGACCACACAGTAAAACATGCTCTTTCCAACAGTGGCCTTGAGAGAGAGGATACAGCTCTGTGGAAGAAAAATTACTTGAAGTAAAACAGATTTTTCACCAGCTGAGCCCGCTGCTCAGGCTGATGCAGGCAGCAAGGGAGGGACCAAAATTTCCTTCCAAGTCACCTTTTTAGAAGGTGGCAGAAATCTGCAGAAAGATGCTGGCTTGCTGGCACATGGGCAGCTGATCAGCACTGCTCTAAAATTTAGTGCTGGAACTAGGAGGAGGAGGCAGACCCTGGAAAGAGATCTGAAGGACAGTGGAGAACAGGGACCGGGTTAGGCCTGCAATCTGTGGCTCTGCTTTTTTGTCTTCCAAACAGTGATACCCACAGCATGCTTCAAATCTTCTTCAGGTTACTTTGCATGGAGATCGGGATAGGACCAAAAGAGCCCCGGCTCTTTTGCTGCCGAGAAGAAACTCTACAGGTAACAGAGCAGCAGCGAGGAGCCAACAATGGAGAAGAGATGCAATCAATCTCGTTTGTTGACATGCTTCAATCTTCAGGGATGAACTTCACAAACAAGTACTAAAATAACAGAGGGTTGCAGGGACACAGCCTCTGCTCCACATGCAGGAAAGGCTGTCAAATGTAAGATGGCCAGAAGGAACTCTTTGCTGTGACTCCTCCTAAGATATCTTCTCCTGGGCTTTAATTTCTTTCTCCAAAGACACATACATCAGATGGGTGCTAAAGTGATTGAAGAAGATAAAATGAAGAAATGCTTCTTATAGCAGTGGAACATCAGTTATTTAGTTGGCAGGTTTCACCCTGCTCTGACACAGAAGTTGGCAGAAGACAGACAGGTGTGCTACACTTCAGGTCATCTTAGCAGCTTTGCTCTCTGTGCCAGCACCACCTCTTCCAATGATATTACAGTAGTACAGTTCCAGATATTCGTGATGAGAGCAAATCATGGGGTGTCCTGGGCAAGCAGTGGAACCTCTCTCCATGTGCTCCAACGCAGACTTAACAAAATCAAACTTTCAACATTGAGCAGTATGCTGCAAGGATGGATGTAAAGCCCACAGAGCTCTGTTGCCTCTTAGATGAGATTTCTCATTATGAATTCTTCCCTAATAAAGGTATCACCAACTGCTTCTGCGTGTGCTCTAGGGAAGATACTCACCCATCAACTGCCTGCATGTGAGGCATCTGCTGGGGACATAGCTGTTCTCCTGGAGCAAGAGGAGGCAGAAGAAATGGTCAGGCACTTAATTTCAGAGTTTCCCTGCTTGCTCTGCACCAGAATTGGCCAGGACACAGCCTCCAATTCAGCCTTGACATCAGATGATGTTTTTTTTTACTGCCATGCACAGAATTTTTTCATCCAAACACAATGATATTGGCACTGCAATGCTTTCCTGAAGTATTATCCACCATTCCCCCTTTCCGCAGTTGCTGTAGCAGTTCCTACGTTCCTTTACCTGCCATAACACATTGTCTTCTCAAATGTTATGCACCATTAGTCAAGGCCTCTACACCAACCTTACAATAATGTAAGGGCTCAGAAACAGTCATTTGTGTGCAGCTGAAGATGCCTGGGAGCTCAAACAGGAATGCTATTTAAAGGTTGCATCATGGCCCACTGGTAACTACTTAAGTCAGCAGCAAATTTGGCCCAAGGGCTCTGAACTGCCGAACATTACTGACTAGCCCATGGACTGCTATAAAATGTCATTTGTGCCACTCTTACCTAAAAGAGAAGATTTGCAAAGGTGGGTCCAAATGTCACTGCTGAAGGTCTGCTGCTTGATTTCAAGGCAGTAAAGAATGTATTGAACTAAAAGATGAAAAGACACATAGTGTGGAAGACAGGAAAAGATAATGACTCGATGGAGAGGCAGACGCACTTGCCTTTTCTGCAGGCAGAAGTAATTACTACATTCCATGGGACACGCTGTGAGAAAGCACTGCCTAGCATTCTCAGGGGTTATTTCCAAACCTGTATCATCACAATTTTCAAAGGTGCTCTTCCTTCTCACCATTTGTAAAATATCTTGTGATGCTGCCTTTAACCAATATATCCTCTGTCCTGCTCTTAAGTTGAAGAATGAGTCTCAGGAAAGTGCAGTTTCCCCACGGAGAAGGTTATATCTATCTTGCACTTTCCATGAAAGGTCCAGAACAGCTTTCTGCAAGCGTACTGGAATAGAAAAGGAATAGTGCCTCTGCTGCACCACAACTGCTGGGCAACATTTTACAAGGAATTTATCTCCTGGACCAGAAGAAGCTGTGAAAATTCCCCAAAGAGAACTCAAACCTTCATTACTGATTTGGTGTCAATGAAAATTCCTAAGGTCTCAGTTCATCCCCTATAAAAAACCAGAAAGGACCAGTCCTGCCTGCATCTCACTATTCATTGTCAGAACAATATCTACTTTAATTAAATCACTTAAAGTAGAATATGACACCCTTTGGGACAGATTTAGCATGAGACTGTTTATCAAGTGTAGATAATACTAATTGTTCCCATGGAGATTTATCTGCTACGCTAGTTACAGTATTAGGCTTTGGCATCAGCATCCCATGTGCCTGAATTAGAGGGGAGAGGTGAATCATGTTTATAAAAATACCAAGTCCTGAAGGTTAAGGATTTCTTTTCAGCAGCACAATCAACGACCTGGAGCTGACCCTCTTAGCTCCTGGCCTTGACTCGTGTGTGTCTGCGAGTCTGGGAATATTAATAGAAAGAAGATACCATTAGAGAAATATCCTTATAACACTCACATTTGCATGACTGCTCTTCAGTTAGCAAGTGGCTAATGCCATCTGCTCCTGTGTCATTTGAGGGTTAACCCACAGCAGGAGCAGACCCTGAGTCACCGTCTGTGTAAGCAATCACAGCTACCAGGCAAGGCATCAGCATTATGCCCTTGGCTCCTGGCTGCCTCCAACCATGATTCCACCATCCTTATGTGGTAGTAATGCTCCAAAGGTCACACTGTCCCTTTCTAGCACTGCGCTGTCACAGAAAGATGTGGGCTTTGTGCCACAAGAATAAGGCAAGATGAAGCAGACTGGTTCTTCAGCAGAGTGCAGAATAACAGGGCTCTGTGAAGTTCCTCACGGCCAGATATCTGAATGCTGATCCTAATGCACCCTACATCTGGAAAGCTTTAAATACCACAAGGTTTTCACAAAAGCCTTTTCTGCTTCAGCTAAACTCTGCATGTTAACAAGCGCTTGTTATTGATCATGGAAATTCAGCTTTAGGATTTAAACAAGGAGAGTTAGTAACAAGGAAGGGGAGGTGCTCACGCACTTTGATGTGGATGCAGTTCAAGACCTTCCCCTCACTCCCTTGGCCATGGATCCCCCCCAGCTCATGCAGGCCTTGCCTCTGCTCTTTAGGCACAGCACAGCCAGGTGCACGTGCAAGGAGGAAGGGAAGTCACACTGCTCCCACCCCAGCCACCCTTGCAGAGGCAGCAGATATTTGCTGAGACTGGGTGGAAGATTATACTTGGTGATGTGACATGTTGGTCTTGTTTCTTAAGGGAGAGAAGCTGTGCTGAGACGTGCAAAAATTCCCACCATGCTCTAGTCTTTTACCCACATCAGTGATCTGCACTGGGTGACAGACAACAGCAGGAGGACGTTGGGTCATCAGAGCTGCCTGTGCCTGCTGGATGACACTACATCCAGAATCGTGCTGAAGAAAGGAGAGCAGCAGCCATTCCTGCAGAGTTCCCTCCGCACTGACACATCTTGTGCTGCTCACACCTGTAACACCTTCTGGAAGGGTGACGATGATGCTTCTCTCCTTCACTCCCTAAGATTATGCATCTAGCCCGATGCTCTCAAGTAACTCACAGAGGCAATCCAGATGTTTGAGACATGACACGTTGAAGAAGGAATCATTCTTAATTTGATTCACTGGTGGGTTTTCAGACCACTTTGTCCTGGTGATCTCTTGCAATTAAATCACATTTATAACTTTTCACACTTTAGCTCCGTCAGGCATCAGGACAAGTTTGTGTAACCACTGTCATGGAGCTGCAATGGCCAGCCTGACTACTAGGCCCCATCCAAGTGGCAGCAGGTAACAAGATACTCCAGAAAGCTGGTGGAGGAGTGAAGTACTGATTTGGACTGCATGAACAAACACAACTGCTCCTGGAAAAATCATCAGTGATTTGGGGTGCCAGATCAGTTTCCATTTCCCTTCAAAAAAGCAAGTAAATCATGGGCACTATCAAGGAAGGAGTGGGTACTTAGCAAAAGCTGCTATAGTCACGGGTTTCCAGCTGGATGGTGAGAAGCCAGAAATACATGTTATGATCCCTGAGACTTCCCCATTTGCCCACTGCTTCTGCCCAGTGCATGCCTCCACTGCCTGGTGCTTCCTGTTGGTGTGCTTCAGCCAATATTATCTGCTCTTGTTTTGTTACTGGGAGCCAAGTGCTTACAGGCTATTCCACAATCCACAACTGATCAAATCAGAAAGAAATCAATAAAACTCCAACATTATCTGGCTGAAGAAGAGCAAAAGAAGGGAAAGCAAGCAGCAAGGTGCTCTGCTGTGAGCTATGGTTCATGCACAGGTGCTCAAAAGCAAAGAGTGACTGCCTAAGCTGGGCTTGGAGATTTGAGCTTCACAAGACCCCAGGCCAGTGAGAAACATGACCCCGGTCCGCTTGTCTCTTTTCTGGTAGCCTGAAAACATCATGTGGCAGGTCAAGATGCTGCTTTTCACTGTCCTGCTCAGGCAAAGCTCCCTGTCCTCTGTGTCTCACTCTTACCTTAAAAGGCACTGCAGATTTATAGGAGTCAGGCACTTCCCAGCTCAGCAATACAGACGTTTTCATGACGGCATTGACGCGGAAATTCTTAGCAAACACTGAAATGAAAAACAAGATATTTGAGCACTGTAAGGCCAGGTCAGGAGGGAGCCAGGCAGCAGCTCAGCTCCAAGTCTCTCTTTGTCTAAGTCAGCAGCAGAAGTCAGAGTTCAGCTACAGCAGAGAAGTGAGAGATGAGGAGAGAAGCGCAGCAGCCTTTTACCAAGTCTCCAGTCTTCAGGGGAGTTTTGCTTTTTGACTATACTTTCCAGCACCACAGAAAAGAAGTTGTAGGCTGAGCTGCAGCCTTCCTCTCTCCCCACTCCACTCATTCTCTCTTGGCTCTTTGTCATGATCAAAGAACCATGGTGCTCAGCTACTGGATCTGCAGATGATCCTACTCAGTCACCTGCTCCAGTTCAAGCAAGAGCCTTTCCTGCACAGATAAAACATCAAAGTGTGCTTCTGGAGCAACAAAAGGCATTTAAGCTACCATCAGTGCCCCTCTCCCCCCAAATGGCCACTTTAAGGAAACCTTTGCTGAGCCTCCTATCGCTGAACTGGTTTTAGATTAGGGAGCCACACAGTACCTGATCTCATTAGTCAGAGCAGAGGGGAGCGCAGCCTCAGGAACCGAAGCAAAGGTCCCTGTCCTGGAGGCAGAGCTTGCTGTTAGGGCTTGTCAGAGGGGCACTTACCCTGCTCAACAGGCATGGTCCGGGACTGGATGCTGGGGCTGAGCGGCCCAACCCCCTTATTGGTGCGGGCCCTCACTTTGATGTCGTAAGTGGTATCTGGCTTCAAATTCGTCAAAGTGATACTTGTGTCCTTGGTGATGTTAACGAGGTCCTGCTGGCTATTTATGTCCCTGTACACTACTGTGTAGTTGACAATCTTGCCGTTTCTTTCTGCCAAGACTGGGGGGTCCCATGCAACTTCTGTGGTGGAAGTCGTAAGACCCACCACGCGCAGGTTCTGTGGGAAGCCACTCGGCACGTCTTCCGCAGTGGTGATCTCCTTCTCAAACTCCTCTCCTGGGCCAGCTCTGTTCTTTGCAGACAATTTGAAGAGGTACGTGGCCCCCTTGTGCAGGTTGGTCACAGTGTAGTGATGGTCTCTCTTCCCAAAGTCTATCGTATTCATCTTTTCTTCATCAAGACGTCTGTACTGCAGCCGGTAACCCAGCAGCTCCCCTACCATCTCCTTGGGTGGGTGCCACTGGATGAGGGCTGTGTTCATGGCTGTCGTGCTAATCATCATGGTGGGCTTCCCCGGGACTGCAACATAAACACACAATGACCATCTAAAGCCTGCGAGGAGGGGAAGGAAGGACCGCTTCCGTGCTGCTCAGTCCATGAGGATTGAGGAAAGTGGGAAAGTTCAGACAACAGGGTGAAGAGGATGACAGACAATTCACGCGGATAGAGGCAGACTGACCCTAATCCGGTGGCGAGGGAAGCTGGAGCCAGCCAGCTCTTGACTGCCATTTTTTTTCCCATGTGCTGCCATCTAAACAGGGAATAAATTCAGCCATATTCAGCCCCAAAATTCATCCCCTTTTACAGGAAAGGTTTAAGGTACCTTAAAGCATCATATTTATCTCAAAGAAGATCTGCATCCCATCCTCCCAATTAGTGGTCTTCAGACTCTCCAGCTATTGCACAGCACCAGGCCACGCTGGCGCTGGTGCACTGTACCACAAGACATTCATGGAAGCCCAAGTCCAGTGCCCTGATCTGTCTAGAAGCAGACAAATTTCATCCTGAAACCTTGCAGTTTTACCCTCTGCAGAGGCAGCGAGCAGAGCTGGGTGGGCTGTTTGCCATCAGAACACATTTTGGCTTAGCTGAGGAGCAGCTTCGTGGTGTCAGTGTCGATGTGAGAGGTGAACACAAGCGTTCCACAGGATTTCTGCTTATGCTGCACAAGTCAAGGGGTGTTGCCGTCACTTGTTAGAAACTGATGGCTTTAAAGTGATGGTATAATACTTTGGTCTCCTTCAGTTAAAAAAAAGGATGTGTCTTCACTTCACATCAGCTCAGATTTGTAAACAAATCAACTGATAGGAAAGACTCTCAGAATCAAAGGGATTGGCCCACTGACATAAAAACGAAAATGGGATTGTAGCCAAACCTAGTTAAATATCCTCACACAGTTCTGAAACGTACGAGCCCACAGACGGCCAGAAGAGAAAAACGTGTTTGACAGAATTATGCCCCGATTTTGCCATCAGAGGGCGATACCAACACTCCCCTTTGAGGTCAAGCCTGCAGACGAGCCTGTACAAAGGCAGCTCTGGGGGTGGTTTTTGTAGGTATTTAAGACATAAAATTACCTTTCTACTGCCAGTGTGATCCTCCTTGCACTCATAATGCAATGCCTAAGAGCAGCTAGTATTAAGGGACACATTATTTCCGAAGCTGATTCCAAATATTAACTTTAAATGTGCATCATAACATGGAAAGATCCACTGTGGTTTACAGTGCAACACTGGGATGTTAAGGTAGCTTTTCCTGTTTATAGGACAGCTGTAGCAATTTGATGAACGGAACATACATCATGGCAAGGCACAAGGGAGACAGCATTTGAGATTGTGACAGTGGAAACTACCTCTGGAGCTCCCCGTATGCAGCGTGGAAGAGATGGCAAGCTGTTCCTTGTTTAAAAGCACCAGGAACAAACGCTCTCAGTTTGCACAAGCTGCGTTCCCATAATAACAAGTGGTAAATATTGCTCCTGCAGCTGGTGTGAGGAAGCAGCAGGATTATCAGTTGTAGGACAAGTCTAGTGAGTGGAAACCGAGGACAAGACAACATCAGCTAGTTGGTGCCACCTCCAAAGGCAAGCTTGATCGCATCCAGAGGAAAGCACCTGATGAGCTCCTGGGTGCCCCTGCTCCTGGCTCCTGTGTTGCACTAGGCACAGGTTATGAGTCTCTATTGAGACAGCAGAACTGAACTGGCTGGGATCACCAGGATCTAGAAGTTATGTCCACAGCACTCCTATGGCAGGTTGTGTTGCATTCCAGATTTTGCTACGGTTCTAGCAGCTGGGCTCAGCTATATAAGCCTGGGGAGGCAGCAGTAGCAATGGCCAGGCGGGGAGCTGAGAAACACCACTGAGGAGCCTTCTGTGTCAGGGGCCATCCCAGGCAGCACTGAAGTCACCATAGGAAACAAGAAATTGCACTCGCCTACAGGAACAAGGTGAGGACAGGCCATGACTCCAAAGCTGAGGGAGGGCCTGGACTTTCAGGCTTCCTCTTCCCAGGTCTCTGGATTATGCAGATGAGCTCAGACCCATAAGTTTCACTGCTCTCTCACGGGCCCTGGCAGGGTCTGTCCATCTGTTTGCTGCACGTGGCTCAGGTGATCCAGCAGCAAAGCCTGTAAGTAAGGGCTGGAGATCACAAGAGTATGTACGTCTGCAGCGACTCCAGCCCTCTCACTTCCTCCTGTACAGGTGTCTTGGCCACACTCCCCACACACCTATTGGGAGGTCTTACCACCACCCCTAGGAGGCTGGGGCATCCCCCACACTCACCTGCCCCTGTGGTGGTGATGACCTTTGGTTTGCTGCGGGCACCATCTCCTTTGGTGGTGTAGGCAGCAACTGTGACAGAATATGTGGTTTCGGGCAGCAGGCCTCCAATGACCGTCTCCTGGGAGTGCATCCATGAGGTGGGGAAGAGGCAAATAAGAAGAGCAAATACTTGTTACTATTGGGAGCAGAAGGAGGGCACTGGGGCCAGCGTCTCCAACAGCAACACACGGACACAATCGCTGGCTCTCGCTCCTGCACCATGCTCAAGCACACACACAGCAAAGAGCAATCGCTGCCGCTCCAACACCCACCTGCCTCATTTCAACCCCTGCCTCTAACACTTGGCTCTTATAGGGACCCACCAGCAACCTGTGTTGGCAGCTGTGCTCTCCCACGGCTTCTGCCAAGAGGGAGACCTGGCCCAGAAACGGTCCTGTGTGAAGGCAGAGCCACCCTGCCACAGCAAGACTGTGAGCAAGAGCACTGTGGAGCTGTGAACCGGAGCAAAAGCCAGCTCAGCTAGCTGCAGGAATCTCTGGGGGGCTAATTTGGGGATTTTTAAGGCTGTCTCTTGCAGCAGAGCCATGGGAAGCAGAGAGGCAGTGCAGGGGCAGAGGGCCTCAGGCAGGGAGCACCTGGGGTGCTGCAGCCTCGTGTTCACTCCCCCTGGCAGGCACAGCACTGCAGGGATGGGACGGGGTCAGCACAAGGGGCTGGCAAGACCTGGAGGGAAAACCCCAAACCCTGCACAGTGGGAGGTCTAGGAGGAGGGGGGACTAGGCAGAGTGCTAGCACTCGAGCATGCTCTGGCTTCCTCTGGGCAGCAGGAGGGCATGGCTCTGCACTTCAAACTGAGATCAAAGAGGGGAGCACTGTTGCTCCTGCCTGGCCTCCAGCGGCAACGTGACTCATGCCAAGCCTGGCTAGCCAGGCCTGCAAAAGAGCAAGCCCAGCAAGCTCAGCAGCTCCCAGCACCTCTCTGTGAGCTCAGAGCACGTAGCCCTGAACTGCATTCACCTGTGGGTGCTGTGAAAGGGACTGGGGCTGTTAGCACTAATAACCCATCAGGACAAAGAGCAAGCGACAACTGGGCTGGATAGGGAGCTGGGGGACCTTCTGGGAAGGAGGTGGAGGCTCTGAGTGGTTATTTACCCTTTCAGACAAGAAGAGCAGAGATGGAGAGGGTTAAGCTCCAGTCACTGAGGACAGGCAGCATGAGCAGTGTTAGATGCTGCTCCAGGGGTCCAGTATCTGCCTGGGTAATCCTTGCCAGCTTTGGGGGTATGAGGGCTACCTGCAGTTGCTCTCAGAAGACAGCTAGTCTCCCATCACTCACTCATTCGCACTAACACCCACGCTGTTAAACCCGCTGATTTCCAGTCACTGCTGCTGGTTCAGGTGACCTGCCCAGGCTTACTCATCAAAATCACCGTGTTACCATCGCGGAACCAGCCAGCCCAGAGAAAAATCAACAAGCACCAACAAGAACCCCGCCAAAATCACCGTGTGAACCAGAGTTCGATCCCAACTCCGCCCCTGCAGCAGATCGTGTGTGTGGGTGAGTGGCCGCGCAGTCCGCTCCGTGCCAGCGGACCCGCGGGGGAAGCGCTCACACAAAACCTGCAGACTCTGAACATCCCAAGAGAACTCACTCCTCCCAAATCCATGCAAAGAGAAATTCTCACGCAAAAGCATGCCACCAGGAGCAAAGCAAGCGAGCTGGGAGGAGGGAAGAGAGACGAGGGATGGATGAAAGAAGGTCTGACTGCATAATGTAAACACAGTGCTGTCATGACAAAGCCACTCCGAGTGAGAATCCTCTGTGTAAAGCAGGAGAAATGTGTCATGCTGGCCAAGCTCACAGTAGGGCACGTAATTGGATTGCTGGCTCTAAAAAGGTCATTTTCTAGTTTGTTCTTGCAAATTTATATTTCAAAATTATGTGGGAAAAATTGGATTTAACTGTTTAAATCTGATTGTTTTCTTATTACTGTCTGTGTTTCAGGCAAAGGTCACAGTTGAGAGCGTAGGTTATTTTTCAGAACTACGATCAATGTGGTTTAAAGATTATATATCTAATTTTACCGTGTAACTCGGTGGGCCAACTACTGCAGAAAGGAGGATGCACCACCTGAGTCGATCACTTGAGCCTGCCTAAAACTGCACTGCAACAAGCTGGAAATACAGATGATAGGAAATGTCAATTACTTTTCTGTATTTAGTAGCAATCTAAATGCCAATTTTTGTTGGATTTGCTGCTTGTGGAAGGTTTCACAATGTAACTCTCCAGCCTCATTAAAGGAGTGAAAGGGATGTTTTGACAGCGCTGTGTCTACAAAATTCACAAATCGATTTACCAAATCCCTCTTTTCCAACCTGGAATACACACAAGTGGTACTTACATGGTCGACGGAGTCCTCAGCTCTCCACTGATGGGGGAGAAAGGAAGGAGGAGAGAAAAATGGAGACACAGAATTTTAAGGGGCAACATGTAGGAAGGGGATGATGACGACAACAGCAGGGGTTAGCAGCACTGGGTTGGGGGGATTACAACACTTATACACAGAGGGTCGCTTGGCACAAGCTGTGCCAAGGGAAGAAATGGCACAGAGCAATTTTCTACATGCTGCTAGCCTGTGCAGTAGGTCTGAGATCATTCACACAAACAGGGGCAAAGAGCTTCCTTCTCATATAGATGGAGAGATACAATACTTCCTAACTTTGCACTCCTTTTCTCTTATGGCTTTGTTTGCACTTTTCTGCCTCTTCTGCAAGCAGAAGCAAGAATGGACACCTTGTACCAACAAGGCTCTGGGGCTGACTGTTGCCTCACAAGTAATCCAAATAGTTTTGTGGCCTAATCTCCGGTTTCTGTCCCAGTGATCTTCCAGCCACCACCTCTTGTGGAGAATCAAAAGACTTCAACACACAAAACTGAGAGGGCACTCTCTGCAGGGAAGCACCAACACAACACTTGCAGCTTCTCTTTCCTGTATCATTTGCAAGAAAATGCTCTGGGGACCTCACAAAACCAAGAAGTGTTGTCTTGTAAACAGTGCAAGAGAGGCTGAGACCTTACACAGAGCTCCACACTAAGCTGCTCCTCTCCAATGACACTGCCTGGCTTGGGGTGAGGCTCAAACTGGTGCATGTACTGAGGAAATAGCTTCTTACTCCCAATTACACAACACCAAACAACAAAGACTCATTTGGTAAGAACAGCCCTGCAGGTAAGACTTCTATACAAACTATTTCCCAGCAAAAGCTCACGTGGATTCCCAGATGTGGCAGCTCAGTTAGGGCTCTGAAGGGGGAACACTCAAGCTTCTGGCTGGACTGAGGGTTCTAATGCAATCAAAGCTGCACTGGGGTGGCGAGACTTAGCAGACCTTGGCTGATGTCATGCATGCCCATAGCACTGTTCTTTGCAGTTGATTCACCAAAGCAAGGTCTGCAGAGATCACAGTGAGCTCTCTCAGCCAAGGCAATGTGTTACACCTCAGGTTGCCAAATATGCCTGGAGGAAGCACCGGTCGATGGGTTCATGCCCAGAGATGAAAGTGGAAGATAGGTATTGCTGACCCTGACTCACAGGGGGAGCTTGGCAAGCCTTGCTTCTGAGCCTGAGCTGCCAGCTGTGAAATGGTGCTCGGATACTGGCTTCCTCAGGATGCTGGGAAGCCCAGCTATCTCTGCTAAAGTGCCTGGGAACCTACAAGTGTGGCAGAAGTACTAAGTGGAAGTAAAACTACAAGTTGCCTTTTCTACTCAGGCTATTTGAGGTGGCTTTCACAGGCTGCAGCCTATCCCAGTGGCAGAGTACTCTCCTCAGCAGTAAAATACATGGCATACCTTCAAAATATTTATTTTATTCTCTAAATTCAGAAAGAAGCAGCTATTGGAGAAACGTTCCTCTAACACTTTATTATAGTTCACTTATTTGATGCCATGAGATTGCAGTAGAATTATCCCCCTAAACCATCTTAAAACTTAATTTCAGAGAAGAAGTTGTCCCTAAAGACTTCCTATGAAGGCCAGGCCCCCACTAAGTATTATGGTCACTAAATTCCCTCTTTCCACATGCATCTTGGAGTTATTTCCAGCATTGAAAGCTTAGCTCAACCTAAGTTGTTGCCTCTGACATCCTACCAGCCAGCCCACACGGTGGTTGATAGCCACACACTCTGCCCTTCTGATCTAAAACCTGGCAAAAGTCTTGATATAGGAAGGATACAAGGCCTGGTAACTTCTTCTCCCAGAAGCACACTTCTGCTCCATCACCACGCCCCTAGTGGATGGGGGCCATGTGGATGGTAACACCTCAGTATGCTTCCACATAGCTGCAGGAGTAGAAGGTGACACCCAATGCAACAAACAGTGGTGCAGACCTGGGCTCAGGAAGCTACTGTGTCTCACAGCCTCTCACACCACAGTGGGGAGTTTATCACCCACTAGGATTTTAGTCCAAGCGTTTAATGTTCAAACTCTGCTTGCTCTTATGTTTCAGTGGACTTTAATCTTGCATGAGATCAGAGTGCAAAGAAATGCCTTGAGATCTGTGCTGGAGGAATAACAGTGAAAATCCAAGCCTGCATAAATACCCTGGTATAAATTCAGTTTCATTATGAAAATATAATCTGCAGATCAAAACATTTCCTTCCTTAAACTAGTTCAATTGCTTCTTAACTGTTTAAGGTTGGTCAGTAAGACAAATTGATCTCAAAAGCCCAGGAGCTGTCATAAAAAGAACTCAAGACAGGGCTGTGTGGATGAAGCGGGATGGCTCCGGGAGGTGCTAAAGCCAACAGTGTGTATTTATGGAAGCTGCAATGCCTTCACCTTTCATTTTACACTTCAACACCACTCAGCACAGTCATGTCTCACCAGGGAACAGCCGCTTTCCCTGACCATGGCTCTTCCAAAAGACAGATTCAAGCCCTCCTCAATAGCACCAGCTATGGGAAGTGGATGTTGCAGTGTTCCTGTAGATCCTTCTCCCCTCTGTTTCAGTGACCGTGGCGTAACAGTGAAACTCCAGATGTAAACTTGGGTGCTCAGCTTGTGGCATGTGGAGGGGTCTGAAGCCTCCAGAACTTCACCCCTGTCCATTACTGAAATGCCTCTCAAATGATGCCTTTCAGTTTTGTTCCACTTATGAAGCACAGTACATCTCACCTCCACGCCAGGCTCTTACCTAGACAAGTGCACAAGCATTAGGAGCTGTTCCAAGTAGACTGAGATAAAGATCCTCGGCTATCACTGAGCAAAAGAGGGAGGTTGTAAATTCCTCTGTGTTATGCTTGGGGTGGGCACTGCCCAGGGAGAACAGGAGTCTCTGATTCCACTTTCTCCTTCGATCTCAATCCAACAGCTTGAAGTGCTTGCCTTTACTTCTTCTTGCTCTTCTGGAGCAAGACCTTGGGATTGCACTTGGTCTGCATGCTGGATGGAGAAATGCTGCCTGTGAAGATCATCCAATCTTCTGTGAGCCTGCAGCCCTTCTCTTAGGCAGCACAACTCTCTCCTGCCATAACTGTTTGCAGAGCAGCAGGAGGAGGTAGCAGGAGTCTCCTCCACAAAGCCTGATCTCCTTGTACCCAGGTGCAGAAGCACTGCAAAACTCCCTGGTCAGCCTGGATCTGCAGAGGCTATCCAGTGAGGCTAACGTGCATCCCTACCCCCAGAGTGATGCAGGCAGCAGGCTCCTAGGCATGTAAGGTGTGCAGGCAAGGGCAGAATCAGCTGTTGATGCCACATTGCAGCATGGGGAGAAGGCAGCCCCTCAAAATGACCCAGTCTGGGCCGAGGACAAGAAGGCTGGGAGCAGGACACAATGGATTGACAGCTAGATTCATGCAGGGTCTCACTGCCTGTCTTGGAAAGAGCAAATGAGTCCCACTTGCATGGGAACCCAAACAGGAATGACTGTCTTCCCCTGGCCCTGCTGCCTCCTTGGTGCCCGGTGCTCCAGACTCAGCACCAAGCTCTGCTTGGCAGGACTGGTACCCAGGAAGGGATCAAGCCCACTGCTCCTGACACACTGCAGCTGCCAAGGGATTGGAGACCAAGGAAAGCAGGTGGGTCCCTGCCCTCCACGAAGAACCTAATGCTTGTGCCCCAGGGCCTTGCTATCCCCCTCCCTCAAGCCGGTGAGGATTTGGATGAGAATGGTGGAGTGCAGCAGGGACCCTGCACTGGTGCCCCTGCTCCTTTCAAAGGCACTCTTTTGGTGCTCAGATGTGTTGTGAACAACCCAGGGCACAGAATGAATCTTCTGCCATTGCTCACCATGGGTCTTGACTGAACTGTGATGGGCAGGGCCTGTGCAGGACGTGGGTGGGTATCTGACCCAGCTCTGCAGTGATGCACATGCTCTCCCTGGGCACTCCTCCACAGGGCATGGTCACATTTGCTCGCCCATCAGTCTGTCAGTAGGAGGTGAGAGCTCAGACTGGAAGGCACAGAGAAGTCTGACGGAGGTAATCAGTCACAGGCGCAGCCACGCAGGGGAGGGAGAGGCCTCAGCTCCATTGCAGGACCTTCCTAACTGATTACTCTCCCTAGGCAGGAATCTGTAAAATAAAATGTGATCTTGCCAGCACCAGGGCCCCCACTTCTTTGCTGATGTTTTAGTCCTTTCCGCTAAAATGATTTTGAAAACTCAGAATCTGTATTATCTGCATAGCTAACATCTCCATTCCCTTTCCTTTCATCTTCGTTTACTCTCTCTCTCTATTTCTCATCTTCAATCAGGAAGAACCATGAGTCAGCTTTAATACCAGTGTCTTCATACCACCTGCAGGAAGCAGATTATGTGGTACAAACCTACTCAAAATCAGCAGACAGCCTGCTGGAGGAGGGGCTCTGCCTACGTGTCCAGAGAATTTCTTTGACCCCAGATTTTCAGCCACTCTAAGTCTCTCCTTGTGCACTGGTATAAATGTTTATGAATGCTTATGAATACTGAACTGTGGCTATATTCTGGCCATCTTCACCCTGTGACCTTCAAGGACTGATGTTCCAATGAATCTTTTTGTTTTCTTCCACAGAAAATAACTCTTCCAAGACTACTCATTCAAGTTTGATCTAGCTGTTTGCAAAGACATGCACTGCTGTACTGAAAGATGGCAGCTCTTACAGGGTTCTTCAGCTTCTGGAGCAGATGTATTTCATCACAAGCACAGGTCACGCCTGGCTTCTCACTCTTTCGGGAAATAAAGATCTCTACTGCCAAGTCAGTGAAACCTCTTCCCTGCAGGGTCATCGTTAGTTTATCCCAAGAGTGACATGACTCATTCAGAGCAGTCACTTCTCCGCAACTATCTTTGGGCCTTTGCTTCCATCCAAAAATTACAGCGGATGAGTTCAGAACCGTATACATCAGAAAAAAAAACCAAAAATGGCAGCAATCAAGAACTTTCCCACATAAATTCACCAAATATGAAAGACTGGTAAGTGGTCTGACAAGCCAGGAAACTTCAAGCAACTTGCCTCCTTGATGCACACATTCAAAATAATGCAAAATCCAGCACTTCTTGGAAAGTTTCTGGCTCAGGCATCCTCATTCCTGCACATTACCGTGGGGTTTCTCTCTCTGAAATGCATGAGTAAGGAGTGAAAGCAGAACTGGCTGGGCAAGCATAAAATATTTGAAAACACCAACATGAACAACACTGCCAACTTCGCCCACCTACACTTGAGACCAACCCATTAACTCCAAGCTCCAGCTGAACAACACAGCATCAATTGTTCACAAAATACAGAAGATTATATCCTCCTGGAATAAGTAAAGGGCAGCAAGCAGCTTTTCTAACCATTAAAATAAGGCAGCATCTGAAACATAAACAGAGATATGCCCCAGACAACACTGCAAGGACCCTCAAAGCATTTTCTCTCTTTAAAAGTTTTCCCCTTCCACATTATTACTGAGTTTTATCCTTCAGAATATGAATGGGGAGTAAAGCTGCCTCTGTGCACTGCGCTCCCCACTGACAGACGTATAAATGATTCACAGCTGCGTTCAGGAGACAGATCAATTAATCGTTGCAGCTTTCCAGTATTTATATTGGGCATCATTCAAGTAAGCCAGCTCCGAATCGATTACTCATCGCTTCCAACACCAGCAGATCCTCTACTTCATTTATACGATTATCTTTGTTGAGAACAGCACGGGTCATCCAGGACGAAGGACCCTTGCTCCAAAGAAGAGTTGTATTTCATCACAGACAGGCCACCAAAAACTTCCCCGGGCCCTGGGAAAGAGGCAACTATGCATGCTGGTCTGAGCAGAGTGCATAACTGCACCTGGAGCACTGTGTGGGAACAGGGCCTCAGCTCACAGCCCGTGGGGTATCCTGGGGACCGCATAAATAGAAGCAGATTGTTGTACAGGGATTGGAGAAGGCAACGTCATTCACAGGCGGTGTGGGCCTAAACCTCACTCTTTCCAGCCCTCCCCCCACCACAGGCTCCCCCAGACTCAGGTGGCTTCACCTACTTTTTGGTTTCAAGAGGCAATGCAAACTCAAGTCCCTGCCTTGCAAAAGCAGGAAGGAAGGGAGGCTTTGCTGAGCCAGAGGAGGGCTGTCCTGCCTGGCGTGGTGCGCCCACCCAACGGTTCAGAGCCAGCCCTGCGCCCTGCATGTGGGCAGCATCCCAGTGCACTCTGCTGAGAGGAACTTCACCCTAAACATTGTGAGCAGCATGAAAGAAGCAGGCTCAAGGCTCATTTAGAACTCTTCAACAGTTTATAACCTGACTGGAAAAACAATTTGTTCCAGCTGGAGTCTGCCCAGGATGTGGCCGGCAGAGGGAGGTACATGTTGGAGAAGGGGTAAAGAGAGGAGCACTACCCAATACATCATCTTTCCTACAGCAATTCTTCCCTTATTAAACTTTTTACCCATTTGTAAGCCACAGTTTAGGGATAACTGTCTGCCTTGCTCAGGCAGGACTGAGTGTCGTGCTCTGGAGCCACAAGAGAAGGCCAAGAAATACTTGGACCCAGACAGCCCAACCCTCTGCAGAGAGGGAAGGTGCCGTGCCCACCAGCCTGTGGTCCCCACACCGTACCTGTGCTTCCGACAGCATGACGTCCTTGATCACTGGCTGCCCTCGGGGCTCGTTGTTTTCCAGCTTCACGTAGGTAACCTGGTACCCGCGGATCTGTCCGTGCTGCTTGTTGGAGATGGGCAGCTTCCAGCTTACCCGGATGGCAGTCGAATTCACAGACTCTACCTCCACCTTTCGTGGTGGAGCACTGGGCACTGCAACACACACGGGATGGACAGTTAGCAGGTACCACACAACTGCTGTCAGCTACCTCTCAATCCTTTGCTATGTTCCCTCCACCTCACTGCAAGGACGGCCGTGCTGGCACAAATGCCCTGTACCTGCCTAGGAGGTGATACTGCAGTTTTCCACCATGACCATATCCCTCACCCTTTCCCAGCATCCAAGCACTTTTGCTACTTTCAGTAGAAAAGAGCACAACTGTGTTATGTAGGAGCACCTCTAATAAAAGCCACTGCGCTTGATCAGACCTAAGGTCCATCTATCCCTGTCTTGTCACCAGCAGAAGGGGAGCAGGGAAGATTATTTTATATATATAT